CCCCAAAACCCCAAAACCCCAAAACCCCAATAGCATGCTCCATCATTGAAAGATCACTACGATAATTCAGAACTTTGGAAGCTGAAAACTCTTTCTTTGAAATCGTTGGAAATTTGTTGCTTAGACTTTCCTTTGGTCTCGATAATAAACAGGGCTGCACAGAAGAACCCCAACATTGATAACCCACTAAAGATAAAGAAGAAAAATGAGCTTGCCAAAAGGAGTCTTGGTCTCCCATGGATCAGCTCAATCACTTGGATAGTAAGTGTTGGCAAGGAAAATAGTAGAAGAGTCAGCCCTAACTGAAAAGCAGTAGATAGTGCCATTCCTTTGTCTGTCAGAGTCTCTGTGCAGTAAAGCACAGGAATTGAAGCAAAATTCAGCCAAAATGAGATAAAATAAATTCAAATTGTCACAGCTGATACTAGATTTGGCAAACTGTGGAATACAGGGATTCTTCCATTTACTACTGTTACTTCCTCAACCATTTGGAATAATATTCCTCATCAAAGGCATGAGACGATCATAGCAGTCATAAAGAGGTTATTTTCTTCCAAATCTTTTTAGTATGAATACTGATGGAATCAAAAAAATCATTGAGGACAATACCAAAGTAAATGCTAAATTGATCCGAGGAAATCTTTGATCATACACAAACCAGAGGCCATAATTCAGGATGATATTGACTCCAGTGATTTGTTGGAACCCTCTAAGGATACATGAAGCTATCAGTTTCTTTCTTTCAGACAGAGTCCACAAGTTCTTCCAAGTATCTTTTGATAAGAGGGATTCAGCTATTTCCAGTGACTTTCGAGAATCTTCCTCATAATTTATGCTCGAATCGTATGTGTTTCCTGCAGACTCGATAGATTCTTTTTGGATTGAATTATTCATTCAATGATGTACATAAGTCGGATTCTCCCTTTTAAAAATTAGAAATAGAATTAATAATTGGATAGCTGGAACTACAGTATTTGGGATTCTCAGTTCTCTCCAGATAATATGCACATCTTCAAAGTTAGAGCAAAAGTCTGGAGAAGTAGAGCTAGATCTATATTTAAGGATCTTTAAATTACTTAAATCAGTTTAGAATAAATGTTGGCAGTAAGACTCAAAGAGTCACCAAGGTCTGCAAGCCTTGGAACCAAGAATTCTAAAAGCCAGGGAAGGATGAACCCTATATTTAACCAGAATTGTGTAGTAACTGTTCAGTATTCAATATATTTTCTCTTTGCTATCTCAGCAGTAAACAAAGGGGCTACTGCACTTGTTATGCCGAATCCAAGGCCAATAATTATTTCTCCAATAATCATCGTAGGAAGAGATCTAATGTAGAGGAAGAAGCTTCCTATGAGACATATGAGTGCCGATATAATCAATGCCTTTCTCTTCCCATACCTTGCCAATTTCCATGAAAATCCAGCCCCAATTGTTGCGGATACGAGAACTATAGAATGTTAATATAATTATCAGAAGTGAAAGGTGTTCTTTAGTCTGCAGATAATTAGAACAATTTTCCCCAAAATATCATGAAATAAATGCCGAGAATAGTCGAGTAAACCTCAATCTGGCCATATAGGATTTTGTTAATAAAAATACTGAAATAACTACTAGCTTATTGATGATGAAAATTAAGCATGGTTTTGGATTTTTATATTTGGGTGGATTATTAGTAGAAACTTTAAAGAATTACAAAATATAGTCAAATGTTAGCACTGGAAAGCTACAATTAGTTAATGAAGTCAAAGTGAGCATTAAAGTATCTCTCGTAGCCTAAATATCTTCAGGTGCTCTGATAATTAGGGTCTTGATACAAAATTTAGATGAATTATGAAATATATGTGCTTTCTTACATATCCCAATGACTGTCATGTTTATTATTCTTGCATTTTCAGGATCAAATCCATAAATTCATGCATTGAGGTTCCAAAGGATAGACATGGTATGAGCTAGATATCCGAAGTGAAAATGTCCCATGTTCAGTACAGTGCTCCACAGAAGGAGGTAGCATAGACTCTTCATGTTATATTCAATTATTTAACAAATGTGGGGTTTTGGGGTTTTGGGGTTTTGGGG